CCAATATCCTGACACTGCACTCCAACCTGGAGTGAGACTACATCCCAAAATAAATAAAGACGTGAGAAGAAAGAAAGAAAGAGAAAGAAAGGATGGAAGAAAGAGAAAGAGAAAGAAAGAAAGAAAGAAAGAAAGAAAGAAAGAAAGAAAGAAAGAAAGAAACTGGGTCACAAAGAATTGGAGCCAAGCAAGGTGACCATTATCTAAACCTGTCCTTGAATTGGTCCTGGGGGTTCACTCTTGTAGACTCATCAAATGGAGAGGCCGTCGCAGGTGGATCACCTGAGGTGAGGATTTCACGACCAGCATGGACACCATGGTGAAACCTCATCTGTACTAAGAAAAAAAAAAAATTACCTGGGTGTGGTTGTGGGCACCTGTCATCTCAGGTGCCCAGGAGACTGAGGCATCAGAATCACCTGAACTTGAAAGGCAGAGACTGCAGTGAGCCGAGATTTGGCCACTGCACTCCTGCCTGGATGACACAGCCAGACACTGTCCCAAACTAACAAACGAAAAACGTGAGTGGCTAGAATTTATTCTCAGAGTCATGGTACCTGATCATATGCCCCTCTGAACGCTGAGCAGATGGAAATACCATAGTGGAAGGTGCCTGTCCTGTAATCCCAGATACTCTGAAGGCTGAGGTGAGAGAATCCCTTGAGCCCAGGAGATTCAGGCTGCAGTGAGCCGAGATTGCACTACTGCACTCCAGCCTGCATGACAGAATGAGACCCCGCCTCAAAAAATAAATAAATAAATAAAAATTTCATTTGAGGGAGAAGTTAATTAAAGTCCACACTTCAGCTTTGAAATTACTTCAAAATCCTTTTTATTTTATGATTTGGGACAGTGTCTGGCTCTGTCACCCAAGCTGGTGTGCAGTGCCTTTATCTAGGCTCTCTGCAAATCCACTGCCTCCTAAAGAAGATTCTCTTGCTTCTGCCTGTAGAGTAGCTGTCATTATTCGTTCCTGGCAACACACACGGTTAATTTCTGTAGTCTTTTAGGAGAAATGCGGTTTCGCCACGTTGAGCAGGTTGGCCTCGAACTCCTGACCTCAAGTAATCTGGCTGCCTTGGCCTCCCAAAGTGCTGGGATTATAGGTGTGAGCCACTGCGAGTTGGCATATCTTGCTGTTAGGTTTGAGCCTGAATGAGCCCAATTTGACAATAAAGGATGGCAGTATCTCTTTCCAGATGCAGAGAGTGTCACAAATGAATTGAAATTGATCTTCAGTATTCTAGGCAGTCGAATGTATTCTGGTTTTCAATTTTGACTAATCTGGTAGGTTTGACTAATCTTTTTGTTTTTTAGATAAAATCGCAATTGCACATCTCACGAGTGCCAAAGAAAATGCATGTTTAATATTTTCCAACAAATTATGACATTTTTGTGGTAGAAGTATCATGTACCAGAAAATCAAACCTTTGTAAAATCTCAAATGCATATTATAGTTAGCATACATGCCCATTGCTGTCCAGTCATGAGGTAATTGACGTTGATTCAAGTTCAGTCTCTAAGAATGTGTAACAGCTGTTCAGCGGGTTTTACTTTTTCAGGTAATTGTATTTATTTATTTATTTTTGGAGACAGAAGGTTCTCACTCACCCAGGCAGAAGTGCATTGGTGTGAACTGAAGCCTCATTGCAGCCTCAGACTCCTGGACCGAAACAATTCTCTTGCCACAGCCTCCTGAGTACCTGGGAGTACAGGTGTGTAGTCTCACGGGTACTAGGACTAGACGCTATGTCTAATTTTCTTTGATTGTTATTGGTTTTATTTTTTAAAGAAAGGTGGTTGTTGCTATATTGCTTAGGCTTCTTTTGAACTTTTGGCTTTGAGATCTTTCGGTCTCGGCCCCCCAGAGTGCCGGAATCAGGCGAGAGCCAGTGCATCTGGCTAGAACTTCCTATTTTTTGGTAATATCAGCGTGGTTTGCTTCTCAAAGCAAACCCCACTTTCAGAAGGAAACCCCACTGGAGAGGTGTTACACATTGTTGGAGAGTCAGCTTTGAAAGGTCCATTTATCTCTTCCTTCAACTTACAGATATGCGGAAATGCAGCAAATCCTGTCCGTATAATTTACACTTACTGATGACTCAAGTGAAGGTATCAGAGCACATGATGAGTTCCTTGTACAGTGCATCTGAAAGAAAACTCAAAAATGTGGTTGGGTGAGTTAGCTGACGACTGTAGTCCCAGGAGGTTGGGAGGCAGAGGCAGGTGGATTATTGAGGTCAGGCGTTCGAGGCCAGCCAGGACCCCGAGAAGAAACCCTGTCTCCTCTAAAAATACAAACATTAGAGGCCGGGTGCGTTGGATCACTCTTGTAACCCCGGCACTTTGGGAGGCTTAGGTGGATGGATCGCCTGAGGTCAGGAGTTTGAGACCAGGGTGACCAACATGGTGAAAGCCTGTCTCTACTAAAAATACAAAAATTAGCCGGCCGTAGTGGTGAGTCCCTGTAATTCCGGCTACTTCACACGCTGAGGCAGGAGAACGCTTGAAGCAGGGAAGAAGATGTTGCAGTGAGCCGAGATTGTATCTCACAGGTTATTTCCTGTTTCCCATTCTATTAAATTCATATGAACGAATTTCACATGAAGATGGTTTAGGAAAAATACTCCTATGGTCAGAGTATCATAGACACTTTTTGTTTAAAACGTGTCTCCCTGGCCTCTGAAAATAACCTGCAGTGGAGCGGGCTAGTAAGCTCACTGCAGACTGGTCCTCATCTCTTTAAGATATCCTCCTGCCTTAGCATCCAAAAAAGAGGAGGTACACTGATGCACAATTAAATGCAGCCATTTCTGCCTATTTCCTAGAGACTCTATTTCTCCATGTCGCCCAGCCTTTGTCTCAAATGCCTCAGGTGAAGCGCAATGCCTGCCTCAGCCTTGCAAAGTGCTGCCATTAAGGACCCGAGTTACCACACCTGGACAGACACTATATCTTGATTTGCCACTGTGAAGACACACAAGACTAGGGAGTTTTATCATTTTATTTAATCTTCAGATTTCTACGCTGTATGTGAACGAAAATGCAACATCATAACATGAATAACCCACCCGAAGGTCAAAGTTGCAAACTTCTCTTTTCTGAAAATTATTTGCACATTTTTACCCTAAAAAACAAATCTGGTCCAATTTTCTCATGAAAATACTTCCTTCCACAGATTAGTTTGTTACCTCTAAACACTACGGATTATAAGAGTTCTGTTTCAATGGAAAACTAAAGAGCACTCACGTAAGCATTCTTACATGTTTAGTAGTTATTTGTATCTTTGAATAGCATATTCATCCATTAATTAGATTTTTATTCATTATATATTCCATTTCGTTAGGCGGTGTGATCCAGTAAATTAATTGGTTTACCTACTGGGGTACAAATCTTTTTATCTGATAGCATCATTGGGTTTCTCCACCACCCATTTTTATTTTGATTACCAGATAATTTATTGAACCTTTAAGCAATCTGGACTCTGAAACTTTATGCCGATGTATTGTACACTTAACTGTCCCAAAGTGACGACTTTTAAAGCACTCCTGTCCATAGTAAATTAAATCCGATAGGCTGAGCATAGGGGAAAGCTGACAGGCTTTGCATGCTGGCTTATGCCTGTATTAATAGCACTTTGGGAGACAGAAGAGGGTGGATCCTGATTGAAGGGAAGACCATTCCCAACAGGGTGAAATGGTCTCTGTACAAATTACAAAATACTAGCCAGCTGACAGACACCTGAAATCCCACTTACTAAAGTTGCAGAGGGAGAAAAATAGCTTGAAAACAATAGGTGGAGATGGCAATGAGCTAAGTTCAAGCCACTGCACCCTAGCTTCAATGACAATGCTAGTCTGCGTCACAAAAGAAATATATGAACAAGTCAATAAACTAAAAATAACTTCACAAAACACCAGCCCTTCTGGATCATACGTATTTGTGAGAATTTATTGCTACACACTTATTTATAACCATTGCAAGTATTTCAAGAAATAATTAATGTTAGTTCATGAAAGACATTGATTTTCCAATTTTTCGGAACGATTAATATCTTTAAGCTATGTATTTAGGAAATTTAGCTGGCTCACTTTTGAGTAAGGTGGAAAATAGTTTTTCATAACCATTGTGCCCTCTAGTCACAGAATGCTACAAGAAGAATGTTCTGGGTACCTTCAACTTCAGCAACAAAACCCACCTAATGCTTTCCTTTATCCTTTAGTATCCCTTAAAGGGCAAATCGTTTAGTTTGAGATTAGTTCAGTAGTCTTTCTGAAGCCTTCTGAAAATTAACCTTTTGATGTGTCCAATGTGTTGGGGTTACAGGAGTGAGCCACCTGGCCTGGCCAAAACCGCTACATTTTTCTTTGAGACACATTCTCACCCTGTCCCCCAGGTGGAAGTGCAGCAGTGTAATCCTAGCTCACTGCAACGTCCGCCTCCTGAGTTCAAGCAGTTCTCCTGACTCGGCCTCCAGAGTAGCTGCGACTACAGCCATGTGCCACCATGCCTGCCTAATTTTCTGTATTTTTATTAGAGACTGGCTTTCACTCTGTAAGCGAGGATGGTTTCAATCCCCTGATCTTGTGGTCCACTTGCTTAGGCCTCCCAAAGAGGTGGGCCGCCTGCTGAGTTCAAGCAGTTCTCCTGACTCAGCCTCCAGAGTAGCTGCGACTACAGCCGTGTGCCACCATGCCTGCCTAGTTTTCTGTATTTTTATTAGAGACTGGCTTTCACCCTGTAAGCGAGGATGGTTTCAATCTCCTGACCTTGTGGTCCACTTGCTTAGGCCTCCCAAAGTGCTGGGAATACAGGGATAAACTAAAGAAACACAGCCCAGGTAGGAAACCTGTACACATTCCAACGGAATCTGGACAGAGATGCCTAGTCTTGTTTCAGCTTAGGTGCAAACAAATGAAGAAATCTCTCAACACCGCAGTTTACTCTCCTCCGTCATTTGCGTTTAAGCATGTGTAGCAATAAAATCAGGCATTTTATATTACATGGAAAATTTTATTCCGGAAATGTTAAAACGGACATTACATCAAAGCAGAATAGTTTTCAATTCAGTTGGCACTAACAGTTGTAAAATTACTTGCAAAAAATAAGCTTTAGCTTAATACCTCAAAAACATTCATGAAGGAAGTATCTCCCCTTCCTCCCCAAAACAACCTATTTCTTATAGTGATACTCAGGTAATAATGCAGAAACCACATATTGATTTGCCATTCAACAGCAAGGTCTGGTATGCAATAATCATGATTTTTAGCAGCACCTTCAGTCTCCTTTTTCAGATCGCCTTCCCCCATCCTCTCCCTTAGGTGTCCCATCTCTTGAGCTCCCATGTGCTTCAGGAGAAGCACGGTTCATTCTCTCCACAGACGGTGGACACGTTGGTTCTTTTCTGCCACAATGCTCAGCATCAGTGGAAGAGAAATCACCATGGCTCCTTGAGTACTTCTCCCGACTTCTGCCATACCTATCTCGCGCATTGTTATCATCAGGGAAACTGCTTCCACCATAAGTCTTCCGAGGCCCCTGTGCAGGTGCTGCACCACGAGACGTCCCTGTGGGGTTAATAAAATTACGGAACTTATGTTAAAATACATGTAAACATTTTTACTGGCATCACTAAAGCATGAATCAGATAAAGTACTATTTGGAAACATTAGCATTCATCTGTCTTTATTGACAGGAGACTCTTTATTTCTGCATTGTTCACAAGGCTCTACTGAAAAGAGCCGTAAGAGCAGTATTTCCAAGTTCAAGGAATTTCATTCTGAACCGGCCCTCAATTAAAACTGAGGTTTTAAGCTTCGTACCGTTCTCTAAGCTTTCTACTGTTCAGAACGCTCAATATTTAAACATGTTGTACGTTTCCTTTATACTTTCTCGTTTAAAAACTCTGGTCTATTCAATATAATTCTGTAACTGGAAAATCAAACGTGGAGTCTTACTATGTATCTGATATGACGCTCTGTTAGAACTGCTACTACGACGTTCAAAATGATCTCTACCACCATGCCTTCCGTGGCCATCATGATCACTAGATTAAACAAAAAAAAGTTTGACACTGTCAGAATGAACAATTTAAGACATCTATTGGACAAAACCGAAAAATGTTATAATACCTGTATCCTCTAGTGGAACCTTTATCCTGTCTAGAAGGAGCGTGATCACGGTATGCATTGTGTCTACTCATCGAAGCATATTCCATGGTGTCTCGGAAACTTGGATTATTTCTGATTGCAAAAGTTGAAGAACAAATTTTAAGTTGTCAACTTCTAGTATCAAAAACACAACTTATCTACAGGTTAAATACAATAAAGGCCAGACATATATAAAGGCCTAGTCACTTCTCCAAGTACAACATGCGAATACCCAAAAGACAGGTGGAACTGATACCCATAATTGGTTATTCTCAAAATGCATTTCAAAACCCAAGAGATATCGTATTTCAGCCATACTAAAATGGCTATACATTTTAAAATGCTAGGAACACCAAGACTGTCAGAGAATGCAGATAAACTGGAATCCTGATACAATGCTTGCCGGAACGGAAAATGATGCTGCTACTACGGAGAAATGTGGTGGGGCCTCAAAACAAAAAAATTAACATCAGACCAAGAATTATCCCTCGTACATACCCAGCACTGAGTAAGTGTACTAAGACAAACGTGTGTATAAAAGTAGTGTGGAGGAAACACACAAACAAAAGAATGGCTTAACAGCCTGTGAAACAAGGGAAGTGCTATGATGTGAATGAAAGTTCAGGACATGAGGCAGAAAGAAAAGAGATACCAAAGTCGAGTCGTGTTTGAGCCCAATACCATGAAGCAGGCAGAATAGGTCAGTTCACGAACAAAACAGACTGGAGTTTTTTAGCAGCTGAGGGAAAACAGAAGATGAAAGGGACTGCTTAACTGGCAAGGGAGTTGCAGTGCGGAGTGATGAAGAGGTTCTGGACCTAGAGGGAGGTGGCTGTCGCACAACACAGCATGTAATAAATGCCACTTAATGGTTTACCTAAAAGTGTTCAATTTCCTTACGTGAATTTCATCACTAAAACCACAACACACTAGTTTTTCATTTTTCTGTTACCTAGTCTTAGTGCATAACCATCATCTTTTCCTGACACACGGTCACGTCTCCAGGAAGAGACTGACATTCCGCGTGAAGGGCCTCCTCCGTAAAACTCTCTTCCACGTGATGGGGGACCTGCAAATTTAACATGATTAAACGTTACGGAAACAGCAGAGAACCTGAAACACTATTACCTGTTCACTGAGACAACTGTTATAAGATATTTCTTCAAGGAATCAATTCTTCTTTCCCTAAGTCGCCAGAAATGCATGACATCATGAATACTTTTTACGGCTCTGAATTATCCCTTGATTCCTACAAGGCCAGTTCTTACAAACTTAAGCCACACGCTAATACTTGGGTAGAGGTTCACTTTCTATGGCTTATAACTATTAGTTATCATTTTCCTTCTCATATGAATCGCCCACGTCTATTAATGACACAGGCAAAACACGTAAAACCATCAACGTCTTCGCTGATTGTAAACATTCCACGTTCGTGCTTTCTCGGCTCAAGAAAGGAAATTTACCCATGTTGTTCAGTGCATCTCACTCACACACATACTGCAACCCTCGAATGGCTGCATGCTATGATTCCAACTGAATGCTCTCCTTGGTCTCTACGTGGTTGCCCCTATCTTAAAGGTGGAAAAACTAAAATGTACTACTGCAGTTTCGTAAAACTCTCTAAGCCTTCTACTGTTCAAAACTCTCGGTGTTTAAACATGTTATATTTTTCCTTTATCCTTTCCCTTTTACAGACTCAGGTCTATTCAATATGATTCTGTAATTGAAAAATCAAACGTGGAGACTTACTATATGTCTGATATGACGCTCCGTTAGGACTGCTACCAGGACGTTCAAAATGATCTCTACCACCATGCCTTCCGTAGCCATCATGACCACTAAATTAAAAAAAAAAAAAAAAAAAAAAAAAGATTGACACTGTCAGAATGAAAAATTTAAGAAATCTGTTGGACAAAAGCGAAAAATGTTATAATACCTATATCCTCTGGTGGGACCTTTATCCTGTCTAGAACGAGCGTGATCACGGTATGCACGGTGTCTGCGAATCGAAGCATATTCCTTGGTGTCTCGGAAACTTGGATTACTTCTGATTGCATAAGTTGAAGAAACAAATTTTAAGTTGTCAGCTTCTAGTATCAAAAACATAACTTATTTGCAGCTTAAATGAAATAAAGGCCAGACATATACAAAGGCCTGGGCACTTCTCTAAATGCAACATGGAAATACCCAAAAGACAGGTGGAACTGACACTCATCAAGAGTTATTGAGAAAATTCACTTGAAATTCCAAGTATGAGATCATATTTCAGCCATACTAAAATGGCTATACATTTCAAAATGCTCGGAACACCAAGACTGTGAGCGAATGCGGATAAACTGGAATCCTGATACAATGCTTGCCGGAACGGAAAATGATGCAGCTACTACGGAGTGCATCAGTGGTGGGGCCTCAAAACAGAAAAGATTAACAGTAGACCAAGAATTATCACTGGTACATACCCGGCACACTGAGTAAGTGTACTCAAACAAACGTTTGCATAAGAATAGTGTGGCGGAAACACGCAAACAAAAGAATGGGTTAACAGCTTGTGAAACAAGTGAAGTGCTATGTATGATGTGAATGAAACTTCAGGACATGAGGCAGAAAGAAAACAGATACAAAAGTCGAGTCGTGTTTCAGCCCATGACCACGAAGCAGGCAGAACACGTCAGTTCACAAACAAAACAGACTGGAGTTTATTAGCAGCTGAGGGAAAACAGAAGATGAAAGGGACTGCTTAACTGGCAAGGGAGTTGCAGTGCGGAGCGATGAAGAGGTTTTGGAACTAGACGGAGGTGGTTGTTGCACAACACAGCATGTAAACCACTCGACGGTTTACCTTAAAATGTTCAATTTCCTTACGTGAATTTCATCACTAAAACCGCAACAGACTAGTTTTTCATTTTTCCTTTACCTATTCTTAGTTGCATAACCACCATGTTTTGGTGACATACGGTCACGTCTCCAGGAAGAGACTGACATTCCGTGTGAAGGACCTCGGTAATTCCCTCTTCCACGTGATGGGGAACCTGCAAATTTAACATGATTAAATGTCATGTAACCAGCACAAAACCTGAAACACTGTTACTTGGTTTCTATGACAACTGTTACAAGATATTTCTCCAATGACTCAGTTCTTCTTTCTCTAGGTCGCCAGAAATTCATGACACCATGAATACCTTCTTACGGCTGTGAATTATCTCTTCATTCCTGCAAGGCCAGTTCTTACACACTTAAGCCCTACACTAATACTGAGGTAAAGATTCACTTTCAATGGCTTATAACCCTTAGTTATTATTTTCCTTCTCACACGAATCGCCTACGTCTAGTAATGACACAGGCAAAACCTGTAAAACCATCAAAGTCTTCGCTGATTGTAAAGTTTCCACGTTTGTGCTTTCTCGGCTCAAGAAAGGAAACTTACCCATGTTGGTCAGTGTATCTCACTCGCACAAACACTGCAACCCTCGAATGGCTGCATGGTATGATTCCACCTAAGTGTTCTCCTTGCTGTCTAAGTGACTGTCCCCATCATAGAGGTTGAAAAATTAAAATGTACTAGTGCAGGTTTTCTAATGATGGCCAAGAATTCTTCTCCTGGCAATAAGCAGTACTATTACAGTGCTAATTACATCATTATGCTGCTCTCAAAATAGAAAAAGCCTCTTTAATATACTCTTCATGTGCAGATTCTTAGAGGTCAGCCTTCTACCTATGATGTGTCCGGTGGCTAAAGTTTTAAAGAAAATGTGCTGACTTGTGCATGTTGAGGTCGGCAGATACCTAACTTCACTGATCCTCCACTACAAAATATAAAGTTGAAAATGCAATGTTTTCATTTTCTCCATATTATCATGGAGGGCTAAGAGTAAGAATTTTAATGTGTTCTGCCTAAAATTCTCTGCTGAGAGCTGTTACTTTATTGTCTGGTTTTCTTCTGTTCGCTCTGAAAACTTACACTTCTCTCTCCTTCGCACAACTATTACTTCTATTCAACCCTACTGCTTGCCTCACGTTGCTTAGTTCGGAAATCTCCCCTCAAACAACTTCAAGTCCTACACTAAGTATCTTGTGTTAATGTTTAAACATCCCTGTACCGTCTTAATTGACAGCCCTTCCTATATTTCACAACTCTGCACTTCTGTGACATGCACATAGCTCAAAATGTCGGACACGCTCTTGTCCAACATGCATGTCTGAGGATGCTCTTAGCATCCTAAAAACCGGTCAGAATGCCTCTCACATAAGCATTGCTGGGGTCTCAGAATCTGGATGGCCAGGCACAATGGCTCACAGCGTGGGCCAGTGTGGGAGACTGAGGCAAGTCGACTGCTTGAGCTCAGGGATTTAATGTCAACTAGGACAAGGTAGTGAGATCCTGTCTCTACCAAAATATGTATTTAAAAAACAATTTCATAGGTGTGCTGGTGCATGCCACTAGCTGCAGCAACAGCAAGCAGCTTATGGAGAGTAACCGCTTGAGACCCAGAATGTGAGGCATCAATGAGCCATCATCTGGCCAGTGCACTCTGGCCTGGTGAAGGCAGTACTTCAACCCAACAAAGAAACTGAACATACAATTTGTACATCGGAACACCAGTGGTCCAATGCAAAGGAACCTAGGAAATGGAAGAATTGATAGAGTTAAGAAGATGACCTCAAAGTATACTACCAGGAACTTCAAGAAAAATTAAAAGGCATTCTCTAGCGAATACAGCGTTAAAAGGAGTGTTGCCCTCACTGTAATCCCTTTTTTATGTGACATTTGAAGCTCAAGTGTTTCTTCACCATAAAGCTGTAACTTTGGCAGTGAGATGGAAAGTGTTATATCAAAGTGTTCAAACAGTAAATTTGCCAATGTATGTGTCACATCTGTTTTGTTTCTCGAACTTTAAGTTAAGCCTTCAGTTCAAAGGGCTCATTTTCAGTCATACAAAAATGACGGAATTCCATCAGGTGGCATTTACCTCTCCCATCCCACTATTGCTTCTAGCCACAGTAAAAGGAGCAGATCTTTTAGGATGAGGACCTCCGCTCGCTGAAGATGGACGGCTCTCGACTGGAAAAGTTCCCCTGAAAGAACTCACGTTGAGATCACGAGTGGATTCACCACCATCTGTATTTCAAAGAAAATCTTGTCAGTTCAGTAACACCAACATTTCTTAAATGGCTGAGCAGGAGATACTTCTAAATCTTCCCTACGTATTGTAATCTTAAACATTCACGTTGGTCTATGCTAAGGAATGTAGAATTGGTATACCAAATCAGTGCAGTTTCAAAATATCAAAATCCATTTAAACATCTATAAAATAAACACTCAAGGAACACTGTATATTGGTGTGAGAAAGACAAGTGGGATAAGTGGAGAGGGAGCTCACAGCAGAAGCCTATTGCCTAAATACAAAAATATAATCAAACAAAAAAAAAGTTAGGAGATCAACGATAAATTACTGTTCATATCCTTCTCTGATATTATGAAACCATTTTCAAATCATATAATAAACATAAACCTAACTACACTCAAGGAATCTCAGTTATATATACAACGATACAGTGACACCTCAGAAAGATATGTCATCTGCAAATTTATGAACGTAACACAGAATTCTTATAGTTCTTTATAACATACCACTTTTACTCTTAGCCCATGATCAGTTTTAATAATCTTTAAGAATCACGTATTAAATAATAATATTCTTTTACGTATCTACAAACAAGTGTGAGGCATATTCCAATTCCTTGGTGGTGTCACATGTAAAAATATACACGTTCTCATGCATGCACAGTATTAATAATCTTCACCCTCGAGATTAATTGCAATCAAAAATGACAAAAAGACCTGCCTCTTAAAATGAAGTGAACACCGCAGTTTCAAATTTAGAAAATATCTCTCCCATATATTACATGGCTAGCAATTAAAATTCCAAACTAAATATTAGATCTTTGATGGTTGGTTAATTGATAAAATAACCAACAGGTATTTTCTCAATACATGGTTTCTTTTTCTAAGTAAAAATTAAGCCCTCTGTCCTACTGAGTAAACCAATCTTAAATACCATTTTCAGAAGCTCTTCCTCCAGCAAAGAAAGACACATACGTATCTGTGAAGCCACGGTTTCTGGCATTTCTGAGTCACAGAATCATTTGAGACGTTGCAGTTCTATACTCCATGAATGGAAAATGCTTTATGGCAGGCCTATTTACACATTCTCCGTATCAAAACCGAAACGGTTCTGTATTGTGTACATGTTTACACACACACACGCGCGCGCGCGCACGCACACTCACACACACAAACAAATATTGTTAAGTAAGTCCTCTACTGCGCAGTTACTAATGTCCCATTGGAAGGGCTTCTAGGTTTCATGGTATTTGGATAACACAACCCACATGAAATTCTGAGACCCAAAATAAGAAACTCTAAAGTACAACTAATGGAAACGTGTTGAGTGGAAAATCTGTGGAGAACATGTAATCAAGATTCATAAACTCCATTCAATTTGAAACGTGTCTTACTTCGATGCAAAGTAATTCGGAGTTTAGAACCAGTTTCAGATATTAGTTTAATCATTCCACTTTTAGTATTCATCAATAATGTTGCTCATTAACAGTTAGTTTTCTGTTCATAAAGGATATAAATAAATTTCAGAAATTTCCACGTTTTCAAGCTTTTTGTCTTTCAGTCCTGTGCTTCCGACTTTATATTTTATAACGTTACCCAAGCGTTCTCCACGTGAGGGATGCCGACGTCTCGTCTGTCCTCTACTTCCACTTGCAGATCTCTGCTCTCCTGTGGGTCTCCTCTTTCTTGAAAAACGCAGTGTTCCCTGCCTGCCACCACTTTGAAAAAACGGTTCCTTGGCTTGTTCTACTTTCATTGTTTTTCCATCCACAAACTGAAAGGATTAAGTATACCATCAGCAACAGTGCCACATTTGAACTAATCATATTTTACAGACGTTTTTACATCAACTGTATTAACATTCTAGATGTCGTCTCCTAAACAAACACAAACTTTCTTTTTCCTGAAATGCCCACATTGCGAACACTGCAAAACCTGCAACAATCACTGGGACCATGCATTCTGTTAAGAAATGAACACCAATTCCATTATTCGATTCCCTCGAAAAGGCCTCCGCTACTAAAAACTGCACCTAGAAAAGTTAAACCATGACAAATTGTACGGGACAATGTCGCCCATCTCTTCTTCACAATACAGAATCTCTTTCACCTTTGCACTCACATCACATATTTAAAAGCCTCGGTGTCTGGAGCCCATACGAAAGGATGTGTCATTTGAAAACATAAGGTTATTTATTCAAAGTGATCAGTCACATTATACATTATGAATACTTTCTTGATCCTGCTGCTGTCAATCACACAAAATGTCCCAATATGATTTACAGTTCTGTATCTACTCTAGTTCTTTCTCAATAAGCGTGATCCCTGTTTAGTCTCATTATATTTTCTGCCTTACTCATTTCTTACTTTGCCTAGAGGTGTCCTTAAAACAAGACCCTTAATGTAGTACTTCATGTTATTTCTGAGAAATGGTTTACTGTCCTAATTAAATTCACAAAAACTTTCTTCAGTTCCATCTTTTCTGTAGGCCCAAGTAATGTTTGACCGAGTTCTGCTAATAACTCTATTTGAACGTTACATGGCTTTTGTTATTTGGGAAAAGATCTTAAACTCCGTCCAAGACTTGCTGCATCCAAATCAGCAGTTCTTCCTATCTTGAGACATCTTGTGTTATTTCTCGGCCCAGAATAATTTCCCCAGTTTTGCGCATGGTCGCTTCCTTCCCAGTGTTCCAAGTCAGACACAATTTCTTAAACTGCAAGCTCCCTGTGAAAACTCTATAGGATCTTCTTTATTTCCCTTCTCAACGTTTGTCTGCATATGACATTTATATTAACTTTTCCATTATAAAATATGTGAGACAGGTAATTTGGAAAAGATACACAGATGAACTCTGCTTGAGCACGAAACCTGGGGGGAAATACCAAAATATTACGATACCTAGGTCAAAACTGTCCCCATACCAAGCATGAAACCACGAACCGAAGCAACTATCAGGTTGTACTACACCTTAAAATATGAGAGGATATGGGTGAATAAAGATAAGTTAGTGATCAAGTGATTAATACCTAATACAGTGAGCACAAAATTTCTGTAACAGACACTGAGGGAGAACACAGGAAACCTAACTTGTTCTTAAAGGATAAACTGCCATTTGCGCAACATTTACGTGGAAGAGTAATACTCAAGAGGTCCAGGAAAACATACTGGGAATGGCATCCATATAGCAGGAACTAAAAACCGATTGGGATAACGTTGTAAAATAAAAAAGCTCCAGGGCATCTCCAAGGGAATGATCCTGAATGCAACGTAAAGGAATTCAGTAGGTAAGAGACTTGCATAAAAGTTTAAAGCTGTAACAAATACAGAGTCCCTAGAATTTAAGACTCCACAGGACGTGATGCACTGTTCGGACCGAAGCAAGTGCTGGAACACACTGGAAGAGTTAGCAAGAAGGTATGCATGTTACCTAGTGACGAGGTATGCATGTCACCCCGGTTACAGAAGGAAAAAAAAAAAGTTCTCAGGAGAAGGGCGCAAGGATGGGCAAACATGTCAGTTGCTTGTTGTGTTATCCGGCTTCAATGTTCTCGCATTATTTTCTATTTTCAAGTACCTAACACTTCCTTAAATGTAACGGTCTTGTTTAAATGAACTTTCTCAAGAATGTATTTTCAGAGAATGGCAGAGAATCGTTACTTCTTGTGAGAGTCTGTCTAGACGTCGATCTACAAAAGACTTATATTTTCTACGTCTGTCTAGATGTCGATCCACCGTTTCTCTGTGCTATAGACGTTTCCCTACGAGTTGGACGTGTGATTTCTTTAGCAGCCATTTAATAAACTTGACTGATGTTTCTTATTTTCGTCAGAGTTCCTTCTAAGTTTTAAAGCTGTTCAAAAGCTTTCAAACCCTATTTACACTCAGACTGAAATAAAAACATAGAAACTGGATTACCATAACGCAATTTATATAATGTTCCTTCCAATATCCTTCCAACTACACTTGCATTGATATGTCCAAGAAAGAGGATAGCTAATCCATTTCCATTCATACGTCATTATATTATTTTCAAAGTGTACTGGTACTGAAAAGACCTAGATATGCTGTTAATTGAAGAACAGGCTTAGAATAGCACTAATAAGGGAAACTTACCTTTCCATTCAACTCGCTGGCAGCAAGTTCAGCATCTGCAGGGTTCTCAAAAGTAATGAACCCGAAGCCTCTGCACTTCATGCTTCCATCTTTCTTCAAGAGAACTAAAATATATGAAAACCTTTTCATTTATAGAATGGACCTACTACGATAGTACTAACTATCTGAATGTTACATCAAGAAACAAGAAAATTCCAATTCACATCCTTCCTGTGATTCTTCACACTGAGTCACCCCTATCAACAGCCTATTTTCTTCCATTTTCCTAACTGACTCCATCTTAGCTGTGAGCCTGACATGCTCCATTTAGCTTCTCCCTCCCTGCCTCGGCCCCCTAGAGGTGCATTCCTAGGTCACACTGCATTCAAAGCTACTCCCAGTACCTGTAACCACTGTAACCACATCCTGTTTGGCAAGTCTACCTGCTACTCTCAATACCCTCCTCGGGGTTTGAGCCTATGAAAAGTTCCCCCTGCTACCTCCTCCATGCTTGGATGCAAATACCCTTAGCAACCAACCATCCTGGGAACCTCCTGCCCCCTGGGTACCAGGTTCCTTATCTAACTTGCTTGTTCTGCATCTGTAAAATTCTGCTTCAGCTAGGCTCCACCTCCCCTACCTAACGCAAGGCATAAAGGGAAATCAAGCCCCTTCGTCTGGCCTGAGAGATTATCAGGGTGAGCTGTCTCACAGACAAATAATGGGCTCTTAATTTGTCAGAGTCTCCTTCTCCTTCTCCCTCCTCATCCTCCCCCTCCCCCTCCCCCTCCGCCTCCTCCTTCTTCTTCTTCTTCTTCTTCTTTTTGAGACTGAATGTCTCTCCTTACCCAGGCCGAAGTGCAATGGCCCCATCTGGGCTCACCGCAACCTCCGCCTCCTGGGTTCAGGCAATTCCACTGCCTCAGCCTCCTGAGTAGCTGGGATTACAGACATGTGCCACCGTGCCCAGCTAATTTTTGTATTTTTAGTAGAGACGGGGTTTCACCGTGTTGACTAGGATGGTCTCGATCTCTTGACCTCGTGATCCACCCGCCTCGGCCTCCCAAAGTGCTGGGATTACAGGCGTGAGCCACCGCGCCCCACTGGCCGTACTATGCAGGTGAACTTTACCACAGACCCTTCACCTGCTGCCATGAGAATATCCTGAATACCGAATAGAAACTTCAAAACAAGAGCTTAAAAACAAACAGAAAATTAAGTAAACTATTACAGATATTAAGTATATGTTTACTTTGGGGACAAAACCTGTATGTTGGCTTTAAGGGTTACCTTCAGAAACGGGACCATGTCTCTCAAATACTGCTTTTAGCGTCTCTTCCGTGGCTTCTCTAGTGAGCCCACCAACGAACAGCTGGCCAAGGCAACCTGCTTCCATAATTTTGCTGTAAATGGTAAAAAAATAAATCTATATTTAGATAACAATAACAAGGTGAAAATATTAAATTTTTTTACATCCTGTGTTGAAAACTGATGTGAAATTCCCTTAACGGGGCTGTCCTATTTTAATGTATCTTACTTCCTATACCGGTAACATAAAGAGCACAAGGGGGAATGGCTTCATGGCTTAATGGTACATTTCACTGCATACCTGAGAAAATCTCTTTAGTAAAACCAGAAAAGGGAAGCTATTCTAATTTTACAAAGTGGAAATACACAGGATTCCCCAATTTAAATAGTTTTCGTTGAAAATTGTAGCTTTTATGAAGTACAATTGTTTGTAAAGAGGTAAGATTCCTGATGCCAATGTGCACTGCTCCCTGCAGCCTCCTCCGGCCAGCCTCAAGTGATCCTGTCACATGTCAGCTTCCCAAGTAGCTGGGACTACAGTGGCCTGCTACCAGAGGTGGGGTGTGCGTGTGTGCGTGTGTGTTTTCAACATAGATCCAGGTGGCCCCATGTAGCTAACAGAGCTGTGTAGGTGTGTTTGTGTGTGTATGTGTGCAGGGGTGCGTGCAGGGATGTGTGTGTGTGTGTGTGTGTGCACGCGCGCGCGTGTGTGTCTTTAAATAGACCCAGGTTGTCCCATGCTGACAACCTTTGAATCTTCTGGGCTCAAGTGATATGCCAGCAAGAAGCTACCAAGGTGATGGTTTCTTTAAGGGGGAACTGCCACAGGAAACCACCTGATATCTTGATAAATGATTTAATGACACGCTTAACCTACATGCTTTCTTCGGGGAGAACATTTTAAATATTGTACAATCTTTTGGTGATTGTTGGAAATATACACGAGATCGGGTATCTACAAACTCTGGCTTTCTGCCATAAATATCTTTGGCCTTTCAGGGACCGGGCTGCAAATTAAGGGGTGAAGCACTCTAAGTCTCTGAGCCCCGCCTCCGTGAGGTCGGCAGAGGCTAGGAGCAGTACTCTGGCCGGGAGTACTGCTCCACTTTTACAAAGTGGAAATACACAGGATTCCCCAATTTAAATAGTTTGTAAAAAGGCACGCGAGAAATCTCAGTGGCCATCTCCTTATGAGAAGGTAGCATCTGAGAATGACGTGAGGTGCCACAGCTGCATGACACCATCCACCCTATCACCATGCTGTCACACACTGCACTCCATTCCACCCCGCTGCCGCCAAAACTGCCCCATCACGCCGTTCTGAGCAGAAGCCCCGCCGCACCCCGTGCCCCTTGGCAAGCGGCCGACTCTCCGCTCGGCAGCATGTCCACTCGCCGCCTTCTTCCCCCTACCAACCCCTCGTCTGTGAAAAAAAGCTGCCTTCCTCCAAACCGGTCCCTGGTGCCTGAATGGCAACAGGTTATAGGACCCCCGTTATGTTACTCAGGCTACTCTCCAACTCGTGACCTCGTCATTCTTACATCTTCACTTCCGAAAATGTTGGGATTACAGGAGTAGGTCAGTTTGCCAGGTTAATACAAAACCTTAAGCACATCTCTTTGTTTCCGTTTTCGGCTATCTACCGCCATTTATCTCCCTTACAAACACGTCTTCCATTTAAATTACTTACGGTAGCAGAGATACATGAAAAGCCTTTCAAATACTGTCATCGATTACACGTTTAAAAGAGGCAAATTTAAACTGATTATTCATGGTTCCAGACTTGTACATACCCGAGAGTAATGCAATTTATGTGAAAATTTGCTAAGTCCTGTGAAGAAAATCAGAAATTTGCAATGTGCTAGGTAAAAGTACAGGTTGTTTGTTTGTTTGTTTTTCTGATCACAGTGCTTAAGTACACTGCCTGTGCAATTTGACTTATGACCGCATTCACAGAGAATAACCGTTTCCATAAAAAGTGCACGGGACAACAATGGCGCCCGAGGTCCGTCTCCCACACCTTGCCCCCACATCGGACTTGTCCAACCGTAAAGGGAAGAATCCTCAAGAAACATCAATGAGTTTAACCAACATGAGTTTCTCACGAGCACTAAGGACGACCCCCTCTCTACCGTCTCCTCCCATATTTCAACACCCACACACTGAAAACCACAGCAGCCCCTTTCACTGAAGACGTCCGAACACCTCGCTGCGTTTGTATTCTTGCCGAGAGACCAACCTGAGCGGAGAAACAAAACCACAGGTGCTTCTCAGTAGGACAAACAGCCTCTGGGTCACCGGGCCCTCAGGGTGCTGGCACCTGGCTCTGGAACGCCTCTAGCCCCGCTGCCGTGTGAGACGCCTGGAACCGGACTGCGCGGGAAAGAGCCCCCGGCAGCCCAGCGGAAGAAGCGGAAACTGCGCCTCTCCGCAGAGCCAATCAGTGCGACGGTGGGTGGGACGCGGTGGGGCGCGGTGGTGCGGGGCGGGGCCGCATCCGGGTGTCCTGCAGCTCCACCCTCCTCGGGCAAGCCACGTGTGACGAGCTGTCAGAGTTTCCGCCCAGTGGCGCTGGGTTCACGCGCAGGCCTGGCGGGCAGGGAGCCCTTTGGAATTGCGGGCATGGAAGTCCCACGGCCTAACTGCCATCATGAGTGTGGCAGGCCACTGACCCACAGCCAACACATGAAACATCTCACTTCATTAGGCAGGCCAGGCAGATGGTACTGAATGTTGCAATTCCAGAGGAGAGGGGGAGGGACCAGCGCGGGCTGCCGGGGCAAGGGCGGCCCGGGTGGCTTGCCGGAAGTGGGGCGGGGCAGGCACGTCAGAGGAGTGTCCTAGTACCTTGCCCTGTTGGAGATTATCTCCTCGGAAAACACCAGTGGCCAAATTCCACATGAACTCTCGCAGGTCTACGTGAATACAGGCTCCGAGTGTCATGCTCTCTCCCTGAGAATGCAGGTCTCCCAGGAGCATGTCTTCCGTCATGTGTCCTGGGCACCCGAGAGACAAGTCAGCAGGGTTGCCCATAGATGGCCTGAGTGCATGCCGTTGTGTACTGCCTTGCAGACTCCGAGGCTCCTGCAAGAGTGCAGCAGCCAGTGGGCTGCCTGCCGGCGACGATCGTCTAGAGGACCAAGGCCTGGCCTATGGCTCCTGGGCTCCTGAGCATAGCTACCCACGCTGTGGCCTATGACCCCAAGGCATGTGAATTGGACGGCGGCCCAGCAAAACTCCCCTGGAACCCTGGATCCACATAGGTGTGAGATGTGGTTCTTCTCAGCAGAGCGCCACCTGAAGGAACGTTGTTCCCCACAGTGTAGGGGTGTGGAGGTGTGGGCTGGGCGATGCAGGCCGGTATCTGTGGGAGCCCCAAGCAGGGCACCATGTTGAGCCTGGAGGCAGAAGAGGGGGACTACTGTACAGGAAGTGGACTTGTGGTTGGAGGTGATGCTGGTGGTGGACTACATAATCATGGTTGTGGAGGTGTCGGCCGAGGAGGAGGCTGATGTTGAGCCACAAGACAAGGACCAGTGGGCATGGTGTCGCCCTGGCCCTGGCCCCTGCATACCTGGCTGGACTCACTGAAGGTCTCTGACTTGCAGCTTTGGGGCTTAAGGACCAGAGCTGTATCCTTGCAACTGCCCCTTCAGAATAGCTGACAGAAGCGGGTGAGCCTCAGGCTTCCAGAGGTGGAGTTTGGTGAAGCAAGGCCTGAGGTGCAGGGGGTCAGCCAGAAGGCGGCGGTGGGTGACAGGAGGGAAACCGAGGCCAGACGCCTGTAGACAGGAGGAAAGCTTGCTTGCAGGTGCTATAAGAACATGTGTTAGGGACTGGGACCCAAGCTCATTGCTAACAAGGGAGAGTAGCAGTGCCAGGAGCCCTTAGCACACAGCAGAAAGTTGAAGGGCATGTTTCTCCGGGGGGAATGTCAATGGAGAAAGGGGAGTCTCCATGTCCATGGCAACTATTGAACTACCACCGCTCCCAAAGCCTGTTCCCGGGAGCTCTCTCCAGAAACACAAGGTGCTCAACAGTGGTTCACAGTGCACGGGGATTCTGTCTTCTTCAAGACAGGCACCAGCACCTCAGACATGCTTTTATTCTCTGCTGGCACAGCACCTAAAGGGGTGTAAGCACTGAACATGTGTAACCTCCATTGTACCCATCAGAGAAACCAGGAGAATAGGACACCACATGTCAGGACAACAGCACAGCCTGCCCAGCACCCATCACACAAGGGCCACGTGAACTCTGGAACCCTAGGGAAGCAGCCACTTCACACCACAACACCCTGCCTCCCAAACCCACTGCCCACTTTTCTGTACCTGACCTCTGATGAGCACAGGCTTTCTCCATCATGCTCTACCTGGCTCCAAGACCATCACAGCCAGGACGGTGGCCCCACAGCAGAGTGAGAGAGGACCATCAAGGAATGGGGGGGTGCCACATCAGATGTCTGTGGATAGCCCTGTCCCATAATTCTAGTGCTGTTGCAAAGTTGCACGGTGTTTTATGTCATGCCCAGCCAATCTAATGGAAGCTCCTTACCACAGGCAGATAGCGCAGTCATACCAAGATATTGGCCTGGATCAGAAAGCATGATGAAGTCCCGCGTAACTATGTGATGGATTTGCAGGTCAGTCTTGGGAGGGATTGGGTGTCCAGGTCAGGGGGGACTGCAAGATGTCTCAGTGGGAGAGCTAGGAATGGAAAAGGTATGCTTCACTCCAGCTAGCAGGCTACTTTAGTCCATCTAGATGAAATGGTCCCTTTGGGTTTATCCTGTTTCTTTCTAAGAAGACAGGCAGGTAGACGAACAAATCCATCCAGGGTAATTTTTTTTCCCCTCATTTCAGCCTTTACTCCTGCAGTGAAGTGATCATTAAGGAGTATCCTTGTAAGGAGTCCCTCCTGGCACGGTATATGGGAGACGGTATGCGGAAGGGCAAGCCTGGCATGAGCCTCCCTGAGTTCTTTTCTTCCAGGATACAGGGTTTCTCATTCCACAGCAGTTGGTAGTTCTGGGATCACAAAGGTGAAGTCCCAAGCTGCAGGCAGTACACCACCTCCCTGAGCATCTTCAGCTGTTTGGCTCACCGTGACTGCCCAGATTCTGGCAGGATTGTTGTGCTGGGGCCACTGTGGGGATGGTAGGAGAGGACATTGTTGGTTATTTCTTGGCCTCTGGAGAATTCACTTTGAACGAGGGCCTGACCTGTCCCAAATCATTTCCCTAGGACCCCAGATCATGAGCGAGGACCTGGGCCTTAATCCCCTGCAGTGCCGCCTCAAGGGAGTTAGGCACTCAGAGAAGAAACAGAGACTAGGTCAGGTGAGCAGCTCAGGGCTCAGGGCTAAGATGCCTGTATGTTCTGGAGCTGTGATGCATGTGGAGAAACCAAAGCTGAGGGAAGTTACTGCAGTGGGTGGGCAAATGCAGGCCATCCACGGACTGAAGAAAGGTCCATTAAGGAACTGTAACACCCACAGTTCAGGATGGGAGACGTTAATGCTGCCTAGGAGGCATAAGTGGCTAAGACATGTTGCTGAGAAGCAAGTATCAAGGGATAGCTGCCTCATCATATCTAGCCTGGCCCTTTCCCCACCCTGAGTCCTGTTGTTACCTGGGGTTCGGTTTGAGCCTAACTAGGGCCCTCTCACCCTCAATGCGGATGTCTACCTGAGGTCCAACTAGGTCTATGTCCTCCCAGAACGGTTCTTCTGGACCAGTCATATGCTGTGACATGACCCCAAGCTTTCCTGACATGCTCGCATTCCTCTGCCATCCTCACTCACACTGCCTAGGCACCCCAGACACAATAGACCACTGCACAGGGGATCTGGAGGACCACATTGGGCTCACAGGAGAGGAAATGTGAAGAGGTGGCAAAATGGCAGGGGCCTTCTGTGCGTGTCCAGAGAGGGAATCTGGCTGGGCATAAGGAAAAGTTAGCCTAAGTATTGCTGTGAAAAGTCAGTGTCACTTGTCCCTGAGCATGGGTGCACACACAGATGGTTTAAATCACATTGGCATCAATACTGCCTAAGTGATCTACAGACTCTATGCCACACCTGTAGAAATATCAATGGCCCATTCTTCATACAACAGATAATAGATTGTTTCTCATTGGACTGAAATATCAGAGCTGTAATGGGAACAATACCAGAAGAAATCACAAAGAAGAAGCTCCGTGACATTGAAGTACACAAAGAAGGGCTCAGAATGACAGCAAAAGCACAGTACAAAATATGAAAAAATAGAGAATGGAGTCATATCAAACTAACATGCCTCAGCTCACCGCAGAAAACTTAACAGAGGGAAGAGACTTTGCACAAGGTGGGAGAAATCATTGGATCACCATACATCTGATAATGAGTGAATATTTACACACTGTGAGGAACTCAACTAACTAGCCCGAAAACAAACGGGCTAGGCCGGGCTAATGCCGTGAATATTCATCTGTTAAACTAAAACATATGACTGCCCAGCCCGAATATTACAAAGTGCTTGTCATCCTTAATCCACTGGGCAAATGCAAATCATAACCACAATGAAATTTCATCTCACTTCCATCAGAATGGCCATTATCCAAAAGACAAATGAACACCATTTCTGTTGAGGATGAAGACGAAAGGATATCCTTGCACACATTTGGTGAGAATGGAATTTAGTATAGGGAGAGTGAGACAGAGAATTACTTGATCCCAGGGGGCAAATTTTGCAGTGAGCCACGGTCAAACCACTGCACTTTATCCTGGGTGACAGACACTTGCCACATTGTCGGAAAAAAATAGAAAGTAAGGCATAACATTTTTGTTTATTTTGGATTTACTAATATAGTAATTGTACTATGTTATATGAGTAGACATTTAAGATTTTACAAACATTTTTATGGCAATACAGTCATTGCTGATGTTCACTGAGAATGTGCTCTCCTTTGAGAGCAGAGCCTAATTGGAATCTGGTTTTATTACGAAACCTTGTCTGAAATATCAAACACATTTAAGAATAATTTGCACAGAAGCAGAACCAGGTAGCTTTAAATACTAAAGTTGATCACGGAGTCAGTATTATAAAGCCCTCAAACAAAAACCAGCCTGGTAATTGCTTGCACATTTCACTGCCTAAGAAATCAGAAAGATGATCACTTCTTTCCAAGCTCTTCAGAGAGGAGAGGTATTCAACTAAATCTCTGAAAGGCTCCCAAACCCCCTATTTAAAAGCAAACAAATAAAATTTAAAATTAGCCAGGCGTGATAATAACCACCTATAATCTCCAGTACTCAGGAACCTGAGATGGGAGGATCACTGGGGCCCAGGTGCTTGAGGCTGCAGTTTAATTTCAAAAGGATATATTGAATAAATAAATAAATAAAGGCTTTTTTGGACAATGACCATTTGTACTTCAC